GCAACATCCTCTTTGATGTGCTGGTGGTGTACGAAGAATAGATGCTTGAAGTTTTATTTATTTTAGAAAATAAAATAAATATGTAACGTACAAATTCCACTATTTTGTACATAGTTTGTCCACTTTGTATGTAATTTATGATCTCCTAACATTAAATGTGAATTCATGTTCTGATTTCAAATTCTTTATGTGAAAGTACAAGCACACTTACAGACAAACTACATACATAGATATAGGAGTACATACAAACATACAATTTAAGCCTTAAGGATTACATAACAAAATAAAACATCACACGATTGAATAAAAAGTGTAGACTCGTTTAAACGACGACATGTTTTCGTTTTATTTGTTGTAGTTGTTGTTGTCGTCGTTGTCCATTATTGTTAATGTTGTAGTGATATTTAGCAATACGGAAGGCAATCTGAAAAATTCGTTGAAGAGTCGGGAAAACTAACAGATTATGGAAGTTGTTATGATTTACGCATGATTGGTCATATATCTTATATAGACCTAATTTCGAAAATCAGTTCTATTGGAATAAATTTCAAAAATATTAAATTCAACACAAACTTAGTTTTATTTAAAGAAAAACGTCCACATTTGGACACAGTTCCCATATTAGGCCCATATCTGGAACACACGTTAATTCCCTAAATGGATAATAAATAAATATCGGTTTAAAAATAAAATTCACCTCAAATAATTTATGTAAATGATATTTTGATTGATAGTCCAAAATTGACCAAAGCTCTGATATAAATCAGAATGAGACCCCATTCCAACTACATATGTAACATAATACAATTACAGGGAGTTCCGCTTAAATATGAGTACATGAACACTATGTTAACCATTTCTGGATATCTCCTAGATCGAAACACATGTAAGATACAAAGCGGCACTCACAGCCGAGCAGATCTTATCTGTATACTGGTCCAATAGGAAATTATCTGGATGTGTCAACAATTGGTCCCGGATAGAAAATCGTGGGCAAGCCAAGCATTAGAGCAAATCCGGATGTTACTCGAATGGCTCTTAACTGAGAGACAAAACGAGTCTGGAGATTTACATTGAAAACTCGGAAAGCGTCTTCCTAATTACAACACCAAATTTCAGGCGAAAGCCCGTACTTTCATTGAATCTGTCGCCAACAGATATTAACTTATTTTCCGACAGAAGACATTTAGAAACCCGGATATTTCACGAATGGCTCTTGAGAGAGACAAAACTAGTTGGGGATTTACATTGAAAACTCGGAAACCGTCTTCCTAATCACAACACCAAATTTCAGGCGGAAGCCCGTACTTTCATTGAATTTGACGCCAACAGATATTAACTTATTTTCCGAAAGAAGACATTTGTGACGATATCAGCAGATAAAGTTAAATATAAGATCCTATAGGTTTGTAAGAGTCCCAATCGAATACTGTTCCAGAGGTAACATCTGGGTATCAGGTCACTCGAGAATAATCGGCAATAAAAAAGAAAATGTATTTGCTAGAAAAGAGAAAAGAAATTGAGGACGTTATCCTTACGAACGCAAAATTGTTAATATGTAAGTCCAGTTTATTATGATGGTACGTATTCACAGGTTTACGGGCACAGCTATACAAAATTGGACGAACGAATTCGCACGAATGTGCAAAAATGCGAAGAAGACAGTGAAATGCTGGAACACCTGGCTTTCGTCAAAATTAAATTCAAATAGCTTGGCAACGATATTAATGCAGATATTGAATCGCTCAGGATCAATTATTGGCAAATTGTAAGGAAAGAGGTTCAGAAAACAGAGTTTCTGAAAATTAAACGATAATTCCTTTCATAAGTCTCTATAAAAGGTTTTTTCACCAAATATTTTCCATAAAAATGAGCGCGCATTATCCTGAATAGGGGTCTACATGTATTTTTCGGATTTGATACATACATTCTCCTGTCAACCTTACCTACAAATACCTAATAGATAGGACGTAGATTTGGGATCATACAAAAGTCTTATATGTACAACTGAGATATATGAATAAGGTCATCAAATTTCAAGCGACAAAGAACAGACGGACATTTTATAAATGGAATTCATATTTAATTGATCTGGAATAAGTGCATATATATTTTATAGAAGATTCAAAAAAATGTTTCGGGTCCACCTCGTTTATTTCATAGTTTAATGGCTACAAAGTGGACGACAATCTTTAACACACATTACACATACATACTTAGAAAGAGGTAATATTAAAAGTTTGATTTCACCAATTTAAAACCATAACAATTCACATTCTATCTAAATGTATCAGCAGCGTAGTGAGTTTTCAGTATGGGTGTTTGTTTTTTTTTTTTTTTTGTTCGTTGTCTTTTTTATTTTACAACAACACAAAATATACAAACATCAAGCAACTCGTAGTATTGGTATGACTAGAAGTTTAAGAAGAGGTACGTGTTATTGAATTTATGAGCCATATATTGCAACATTTATCAAAGTGATAAATGGCACTGGACATAGTCAAGTCAAGTAGTATCACATACATCTCTCTCTTATTTTTCAGCTTTTTAGAGTTTCCTTTTTTTTCTAGTGCCTGCCTAAATAAACTAAAATTTAGCTTGGAAAAATGTGCTCAACTAGATTTTTTTGCTTTCCTTTATAGCCGTGGCTCAGTTGTGCTTAGTTAAGTTGAGGGGAAATATTATACTTGCGTTTTAATTAAAATCATTTACAGAAGTATTATTTACTTGAGTTCTTTTATTCGGTTTTACTTTTTTTTTTTTTTTTTTGGTTGTTGGATGAATGTTGTTGGCATTTTACAGATTTACAAGCAACCAAACAAAATAAAAATCGCATTCGTCGTTTATTTTGATTTTACGATTGTGTGGAATTGCCTGATTTTGAAATTGTATTTGTGCGTAGCCTGTTTGACCATGACTTTGTAGTTCAAGTTCCAAATAATAGTAATATGTATGTTGGGTGGTCAATAAAAGAAAACACTATAAACTTGCTTGACATCAAATAAAATGTACTACATTTATCTGGTCAAACTGTTTGGCAAAAGTGCTATAAAGATATGCAATTCCGTTCAATATTTCATCTATTAGAAATGAAACAATAAAGATCATTCCTCAATTATTTAACTGTTACTCTTTTACTAACAACCCACACCATACTATGAACTATATTATAGATTCTGTAGCGCTTTCCATAGTCGTTCTTAATACCTATATTATATACATAATACTTTTTATTTGAGCAATTATTTTTTTCTATTCTTGTCTTTGAATGTTTTAAAGATTTGTTGCAAAGATTTGCAGTTCCGGTAATGAGTTGTAATAAATTTTTGCATTTATTGTAATATGAATACTAAACAAAGTTTATACATGAATTTGTAACAGGAATGATTTACACCTGATTAATATGTATTGATCAAGAAAAAAAAAACTAGAGAAATAAAAACTATTAAACTGGTTAAAATAAAAATTTCAAAGTGGTTAGAAAAATGTATGTTCCGTTAAGCTAGAGAAAACCCTTACCCAACATATGGGGCAACGAATAAACATACTTATGTATTTAACTTGGGTATTTCGATAGTCGAGAAATTCGTGAAGACATAAAATAATGGACTACCTAAAGTACCAGACAGATCCCAAAGGAAAATACTCGATCGTTTCCCCTTCGACATCATTCTACAGCAATCATTAAAAGAAAGATTTTATCACTTAGCAACTCCTGTTATTAATCATAGCTGTTCACTTGAGACCGCCTTCAAGGTCAACGACGTACGTCCTTTATAAATAACCAATGATCCGAGCAGAGCACTGCTGTATGAAGGAAAAAGTTTTAAACAGTACGTTCGTCATATTATAACCAAGGTTTGCTACAATAATGGTGAAATCTCTGCTTAAATAACGCTGCGTTACTCTCCTAGGCTGAAGATCACATATTTCCTAAAGTGAAGGATATAAAATCTCACTCATTGCATACTGGCATCTAATACGTACATATGTATGTATGTAAATTATACATTTTTCAAAGAGGATGTTCTGTGCGTTTTTATATGCATTCTCTGATCCTGTGAAAATGAATCTACAAGTTAGGGCGTATTGGAGGAAATCTAATTTCCTAACGTTTCCATGCAAACAATATGAGTCAGTTTAGTCCATTCTACAAGTGCCGTATGTAGATCATCTAATCTGTGTGTATTCATAAAGGGTAACGTTTATTTCAAAAAAATTGTTCATTAACGTCAAGACCCTGTTTTTCCAGTGAATCAGAAAATTTGTTTATAACCTTATATAAAATAGAATCGCAATATTTCGCTTGTGTTGTCCGACAGATTAGATGTCCTTACAGAATTAGACAATCAGTGTAGTTTCGCAATACAGTCTCGCATGCTCAATAAAATCTTAGCCAGTTTACAGTTCCCTAAACAACCGTAATTTTGACCTGTTCGGTTTTGCGTCATTAGCTAGGGGATTAGTCCCCATGCTGGTTTCAAACTACCCTGGATCATAGAAGTCCTCTACTAACCATATTAGCTTCATTTTTAAGTAGGTCCTTAGGTGGATATAATGCCCTAAAATGCATGCGGACACATTTGAATGTTGTTGTTTTAATAGCTCTTTCCAGGGGAAAACTTTCGGTTGATACAGCTGTTGCTGAATTGACAATATTTGGCCCAGCATGACTCGGGTCCTCCCGAAGCGAAGATCCAATTGTCGCGGAAACGCCAATTTCTTCAAAGATTCCAAAGAACTGTTCTGTCAAGAGATTCAGTTATAGTGAAAAGGGAAAATATTATACCAGAAGCAAGGAACAAAAAATGAGTAAACAAAATTCTAAATGAAAAGATTTAAAAGGCCGGTGACAGGTAATCGGCAATTGTCAATTATACAAAAAGAATTAAAACAACAACAATCAATTCGATATTGATGACAAGATTTTTTTTCATTTCTCAAATTAATCAAATCGAAATGACCTTAAAAATACTAACTTTAAAATAAAACAACCATAATTAATATGTTATGAAAAAATAAATACTTTTTATTCTATATTTAAGTAAAAGAAAATGCGATATTTGTATGAAATATATTACTTAGCAGCTAAATAAAATACTAAAATTAGTATTGGAGTTTAACAGAGAATTAATAATTAGATAATAATAAGTAAAACACGACCCATAACCAAGTGAAAATAATAAATTACTATAAGTAGATAGAAATAGAAAACAATTACAAACTATACTTTAAAAGTACATAAATATTGTTTTGTGCTCATGCATAAATAATTTTCAATAAAATACGAATGAAAATAATTCGAGAAATACTGTGTAATTAAAATGAAGATTTAAAAAGATGAGCCAACAGTTCAGGCTCAGACAAATCCATTTTATATTTTTGTACAATATCCTGTACTTTAAGGCGACGTCTAACATGAGGTGGTTGAAAACTATAGATTTCGAAAGAAAAACAAAACAGAGGCGAATGATGTGTATTAAATTTAATGAATTAATTAAATAGTTTTGTTTTTAATTACCCTTCGTTGTCTAAACGTCTTCTTTTAGCCATATTATGAGCAGTTTGTCTCACAAGATTACCCACGACTCGACGGCTTAATACCATGCCATCGACTAAAGGTGTGGCAAAACTCATACGACCTGGTGGACCTTGCAACTTAACTCTTAAGAGTCCAGACTGCAAAGCGTGTATGAAAATGACATGAACATCACATGCTCGGGGTATTTGTAAAATATTAGCTTCTTCTCCCGTTTTTGTATAAGGCAATAAATCCTCTGGAAAATTGTAATAGGGGGGTAATACAATTTTGTACAATTAATAACATAATTTTAAAAACGTGTTAGTAGACCATTTAGTTGGGAGTAACTGTTATTCCTTTCTTACCTATTGGAAAATTCAAAAGATCTTCAAAGGATTCCAACCAAACTAAATAGATCTTAGCTGGTGGTTGAGCTAACAAAGAAGGTTTCATAGCATTAGCCTTACGCCTAGTCGGTGGAACAGGATCTTTAGATTTATCCAATTCCAGTGACATATTTCTTGATCTCTGTGGAGCATTTTTATTTGCTTCACCTACAGTTGAGTTCGTTTCAGTGCTACGTGACCAAACATTTGTCGATTGATCTGTGGAATTCGAAGAGATACAACAACCGTCGGTATCGGAATGTAAATTCCACTCTGTGGGCACTACAAATGCTATTTCGGAAGCCACATCAGCCCAATATAATACTTTAGATTCACCATTAAATTTCATATCCAGTGGTTGAGATCTATTCGGGGGTTTATCTTCAGACTTTTGTGTGGTAGTCTTTAAGGACCAGGAAGTGGAAACTAAACCAGACCAGCCAGAATGCTCGGCAATGTCAACAGGCCAACCTAACGAAAATAATGTTGATGATTTTGTTTTTTAAATATCTTTCCAAATCTACTGCTTACCCAATGTCAATAACATATTGCCAAAATGTGGATCCAGTGTGCGTATATTTTCATCATTCATATTACCCACTATTTCCTCAGCTGTTGTTTGTCCCGATTTAACATAAAACACATGAACAGTGTCATAAGTCCTGGCACTTAATTTATCCAAAGCATTCAACTCAGCAGCAAAGTTGGTACGTTTCGTATCCAAAACAATTAAGGGTCTTTGTGGAGGTGCTCCCAATGTTTCAGCCGGACTATTTGGATTTCTCTCCTCAAAAGTTAGAAAACCAAAATGTGATAAAAACAATCGAGCAGCTTGAAATTCATGACACACTGAAGGTGGACAACTTTCCTGTGCATGTGATAAAGAATCTGAACTATTATCAGTTTCTGCCCAGGCCAATTTTTCTTGAATAGTTTGATTTTCCAGCATAGTTTCCAATTGTTTTATGTTGTCTTGGCCATACTGTTCACGTATCTGCTCGAAGGTAGGTATAGAGAAATCCGCTACACAGGGTGTAACTTTTTCTACTCCTTCGGGAAAATGTTTCTGATCAAATTCTATACGCTGTGGTACCTCATTCATGGGTATGGGACGTCCGGGATTGACAGCATGATATTTAGTTCCAGATTTACTGCGCGGCAAGTGGCGCAACTGCATTGTCCAGGCGTGACGTCCAAAAGGGCCGCGTATAAGTACTAAAAACATTGTGAATTATTTAAAAAAAATTCTTTTTCGTAATAAATTTGTTCTTAACTCCCAAGCTTACATGTTACAGTGGGCTGTGGATCTTGATCGTTACCCAAAGGTTCCTCTAACAATGCCAGTATTGTAGAATTTTCCGTGACAAAATATTTAAACTTCGAAATGGCCTGTTCCGTAGTGATCGAAGAACTATTTGTGGAATCCAAAGAGTTACAGTGTTTCATTAAAGCCACTTCATCTAAAAGCGAAGAAATTGATTCTGGACCGCATTCACTGGGAAAATAACCAACTTGTTCCAAGATAATAGTCAACAAAGCTTCGGCTGCATCACGGACACGCATGGAGGCCGGTTTCAATTCCTTTTCATCCTTAAACTTGGGTATATCACCGGATTTTCCAATACTTTTGGTACCCGAAATGCCCAATTCGACCACTTCTAAAACAGTTTGCAGGCAATCCTTGTCCTGCAGTAGATACGGATGTTGCATTAGCCAAGCAGAAGTACATTGAAAAGCTGCTACTATGGTGCTGTGAAGATCTTTGCTATGAGCCGGCGGTGGACGAGAGCATTGATAACAGATGTAATCGCAAATCCATTTAACTGCACGCTTACATTCCAAGGCGTCTGTGGAAATTATCGTAAGATTTTGACTTGGTTCTTCAATTTTTACTAAGTTTTCTAGGTTTTTTTTACATAATGTATGGTTTGAGTTCAATTTGTTTTTGGTATTGAAATCAGTTTTTTGGTTTTTGTATTTTTTTACATTATTGAGGTTGAAATGTGAATTTGTATGTAAGTTTTGATTTGAGTTTGGTTTTTTTGGTTTGAAAATAAAATGTACAAAGAAAAAGAAAAACATGAATATGTTTTATGATGTAAACCCAATTATGACCCAATTTTTTATTTTTTAAAATACATATTTTTTAAGGATTTTTTTTAAAGATTTGGGGAAATTTTCAATTCATTTAAGTAGTTTGTGTGTTAATTAAAAACATGTAGCATGAGTAGAAAGAGAAAGAAAAAAACGAAAAAAGAACCAGTGTTAGTTATAGTTTAGTTATTAATTACCGTTTGTAAATTTCCTGGCTGCAGCATTTATTAATTTGGCGGTGTTATTTTTATATATGGGAATAATGGGGTTTAAGTAAAAAAAAAATAGAGGAAAAATAACAAAAACAAAAACATCACAATATTACAAACAAAAAATGTCAGTTGAAAAGTGTAATTATGATTCGATGAAATGTTTCGTTAATTGTTATCAAAATAATAATATTGAAATATTTATGTATATATAATATAAAATGTTTATTTGTGTGCAAAATATTTTATACATAATAAAACAAAATAGTATTAAATCATGTCCCAGGATTAGTAGTAAAAAAAGAGAATAAAACAACAAGAAAACACTTTTGTTAGGATATAAAAAATTGTTTTTGTATAATTTTTTGTAAATTAACAAAATACAAAATAATATACAAAAAAAGAAGCCACACTTAATCCACTTTTACAAAAAAAAATAAGTAATAAATGAATTGTTAAATAGTATTTCAGTTAGCACAATTAAATAAAACATGCAATTTTTTAACATGACTGAAAATTTATTAGAAATGTAGTTTTACTTGTGATGAAAGGAAGCTTTCAACTACTGATCTGACTGAAACACAAAGTGTTCGCAAAAAAAATGGTATTTTTAACATCTTTAAAACATTATTGTTTATTAGCGTCGACATTTTCATGCTTATTTAGCAAATTATTGAATAGTTCTACATTATTTTCATAAAAACAATAAATTATTTTCATATTTTTTCATAAAAAAGAGTTTGTTGACGCGTTTTTCAATAACAAAAAGTTTCAGTTTTCCCTTTTCAACCAATAGATGCTTAAATCATTCCTGAAAACAAACAGGAAATTTTCCTAACATGATGGAATTTGTAATGACAGTAAAAACTTTTTAAAGATATATAAAGATTGTTTAATTTAAATCCGACTTTTTTAAGACCGGTAGACCTTTTATTGGTGGAAGGATCAACAGCCCTTTTGTTACAAACTTATCACAGAACTGAACTAGAACTGAACTAGAACTGAACTAGAACTGAACTAGAACTGAACTAGAACTGAACTAGAACTGAACTAGAACTGAACTAGAACTGAACTAGAACTGAACTAGAACTGAACTAGAACTGAACTAGAACTGAACTAGAACTGAACTAGAACTGAACTAGAACTAAACTAGAACTAAACTAGAACTAAACTATAACTGAACTAGAACTAAACTAGAACTAACTACAACTGAACTAGAACTGAACTAGAACTGAACTAGAACTGAACTAGAACTGAACTAAACTGAACTAGAACTGAACTAGAACTGAACTAGAACTGAACTAGAACTGAACTAGAAACTGAACTGAGAACTGAACTAGAACGAACTAGAAACTGAACTAGAACTGAACTAGAACTGAACTAGAACTGAACTAGAACTGAACTAGAACTGAACTAGAACTGAACTAGAACTGAACTAGAACTGAACTAGAACTGAACTAGAACTGAACTAGAACTGAACTAGAACTGAACTAGAACTGAACTAGAACTGAACTAGAACTGAACTAGAACTGAACTAGAACTGAACTAGAACTGAACTAGAACTGAACTAGAACTGAACTAGAACTGAACTAGAACTGAACTAGAACTGCACACTAACTAGAACTGAACTAGAACTGAACTAGAACTGAACTAGAACTGAACTAGAACTGAACTAGAACTGAACTAGACTGAACTAGAACTGACCTGAACTGAACTAGAACTGAACTAGAAACTGAACTAGAACTGAACTAGAACTGAACTAGACTGAACTAGAACTGAACTAGAACTGAACTAGAACTGACTAGAACTGAACTAGAACTGAACTAGAACTGAACTAGAACTGAACTAGAACTGAACTAGAACTGAACTAGAACTGAACTAGAACTGAACTAGAACTGAACTAGAACTGAACTAGAACTGAACTAGAAACTGAACTAGAACTGAACTAGAACTGAACTAGAACTGAACTAGAACTGAACTAGAACTGAACTAGAACTGAACTAGACTAGAACTGAACTAGAACTGAACTAGAACTGAACTAGAACTGAACTAGAACTGAACTAGAACTGAACTAGAACTGAACTAGAACTGAACTAGAACTGAACTAGAACTGAACTAAACTGAACTAGAACTGAACTAGAACTGAACTAGAACTGAACTAGAACTGAACTAGAACTGAACTAGAACTGAACTAGAACTGAACTAGAACTGAACTAGAACTGAACTAGAACTGAACTAGAACTGAACTAGAACTTAACTATAACTGAACTAGAACTGAACTAGAACTGAACTAGAACTGAACTAGAACTGAACTAGAACTGAACTAGAACTGAACTAGAACTGAACTAGAACTGAACTAGAACTGAACTAGAACTGAACTAGAACTGAACTAGAACTGAACTAGAACTGAACTAGAACTGAACTAGAACAGAACTAGAACAGAACTAGAACTGAACTAGAACTGAACTAGAACTGATCTAGAACTGAACTAGAACTGAACTAGAACTGAACTAGAACTGAACTAGAACTCAACTAGATCTGAACTATAACTGAAACAAAACTCAACTATATCGGAACTAGAACCAAAAATGTCATTTAAAATATTAATTCACAATTTTATAATAAAAATATATTTACAAATTAAGTTCTAAACTCTTTTAAAACATACATATTTCTACATGGTTTATAAAATGGATTTGAGTGGGGAAAGTAATTACAAAGAACGGATAAAATTGTTATGCATAGAAAGAAAGGTTTTATTATTTTCATTGCGAAAGCATAGGCAAGTAAATAACAGTTAAATAAAATAAAACCCGCAGCCTATTTAAATTAATAAAATAGTCGAAAAAAAAACAATTGAAAAAAAAACATTCAACCCAAAACCAAAATAAAAAAGTTATACTCAAATGTATAGCAAAAACAACTCAGAAAATAAAACAAAGAAAACAATTTAAATAAAATAAAAAAACTTACCCGAGTCTCTAATAAACAAACGAGCCAATCCCGAAAGCAATTCCAAAGCGGCCAATGAAACATTTAAGTCAGTACGCCAAGATGAAATCAAACGATGGCACACCAAATAGGTGGCATGGACAAATAGAGCATGAGCATTATCTGTTGAATAGAGCAAGTAAGAATATATATAGTTAAAGAATTGCTTCGCTTTTTTATTTATTTTATAATGTACAGTCAAAGAAAGTTAGGCTTAAGAAATAAGTAAATAAATAATAAAAATTATAATAATTTACCATAACCAGTAGCTGTTTCATATTCATGTAAAACTTCCAGTGGTAAATCATCGAATAGTGTTAAACTGGGATATTCATGCTGTGATGTATTATCACGGGCATTTAATGTTGCCGAACCATGATATGAATCGGCTGCAGTTGAACTACCAGCAGCTACTGAATTGCCAATAGTGACGGTACTATGAGCACCTAAGCTACTATTACCAACACTAGCTATTGAAGCGGAACGCTCTGAACAAGCTACTCGTACAAATAATTTGATAATAACAAAAAAAAAACAAAATAAAGAAAACGCACAAACAATGATGAAATGCATAAAAGCCACAAAAACAGAAGACATGAAATTAAATGTAAAAGAAAAAAATAAATAAAATTAAAAATTCAATATAATAAAAAATGCAATTTTATGTAGATAATTACAAAAATAGAATTAAAAAGAAAAAATTTTAAATTCAGAAACATTTTATATATTTTCGTATTGGTACATAAAAAGTTTACTAAAACGCTAATTAAGTTTATTATACATACCTGAACTTAAAACATTAGTTTCGGTATTTCCCTGGCCAGGAGAAGGTGAACCATGATGTAAATTATGATCGGCCTCGGTATCCTCAAAGGTAACAGCATCTTGCACTGTCAGCAAAAGGCCACCTAATAACATGTGAGTATTTTGAGCATCAGTCTCTACTTGCAGAGCATTCATAAGAATGTTAATCAATCTAGGCTTTAGTTGGATAAAAGTTACAACTCTAAAATTAGGGAAATAAGATATTTTTAAATTTGTTGTTTTATTTTAAAATGAAAACTAAACTTACTTTTCTGAAGACTCATTTGTAAGATCCCTTATGGGTAATGTTTGAAAATGTAAAGGTAAGGTTAAAATCGATAATAAAATTTGTATAGCAGATCTTCTGAGTTCAGTTTTATTAAATTGCATAGCTTGAGTTTTAATTTTCAAATCCTTAGCTGGTAAAACAATTTCCAAAGCCGCTATAAAAGATGGCAACAAAACATGTATGCCATCTAAATCTAAACGAAATAGATCTGCCGAATTTAGTAAGATACTGGCTAAAGTTTCATCACATTCCTTATTTTCGGTAATTTTCAAACATTGCTGTAGAGCCATATAAAAACGAGCCAAATAAACGGGTAAAATTTCTTCGCCTGTCTTTTTGGCACAGAATATTTTACACAAAGTACCAATAGCTTCAGCGCGTCCCGATTCATATTTATCAATTGTTAAAGTTGGTGGCAAACTTGAAGGATCATTTAAAGAGTTTGGTTGCGATAAAGATATGCTACCTTTACGATTCTCCATAATCATAGAAGAAGGACGTTTACTGGCCTCTGAAGCTTGTTCTGCAAATATAGATATTTTAAACTTATAATATTTATTAGTAAATTAAACCTACTTTTAGTATTTATTAACCAAGCATCGCCGCCAATATGAGCAGCTTCAAATAACCATTCACCAAATAAATGCAAAATACTGTTGCATTTAGGTCTGGCAGCAGCTAAAGGGGGACGTTGTTCTAAGCCCAAAGAGGGTAAAGCTAAAATAGAAACGTTTTCATTTATGAACATTTCAATAACAACTAAATTACTTACAACCCAAGCTACTGCTAGAGGGTGGTCCTGATGTAGGTGTTAAAGGTGCTGGAGCAGCTGATGTAGATGACCGAGAACTGGTCAAACCAATTAGAGCGGATTTACTAAGTCCTAAAATAATGTATAAGGCATTTTTAGCAAATAACTTAAAATTTTTAATAATTTTGTTTTTTTTTTTATAATTACAAAAACTTTTACATAAAAGAAGAAGGTAATCAAATGACCCAATTGTAAATACTGTTCAATTTTAAATTATTTCAGTTGCATATATGTATTCTGCAAAATATTTTCTCACATTATGTGTATTTATATATATGTATGTATGTGCAATAAATTATAATAATAAATACAAGCTGCAGATATCAGTTTCACTTCATACACAAAAAAATATATTTAAACTATTTGTTTAATAACACAGGCCGATAAAAAAGAGGTTCTTTGAGATCTCTTAATCCATAATTTGAAACTAGAACTGAACAAGAACTGAACTAGAACTAGAACTGAACTAGAACTGAACTGGAACTGAACTAGAGCTGAACTAGAACTGAACGAGAACTGAACGAGAACTGAACGAGAACTGAACTAGAACTGAACTAACTGAACTAGAACTGAACTAGAACTGAACTAGAACTGAACTAGAACTGAACTAGAACTGAACTAGAACTGAACTAGAACTGAACTAGAACTGAACTAGAACTGAACTAGAAACTGAACTAGAACTGAACTAGAACTGAACTAGAACTGAACTAGAACTGAACTAGAACTGAACTAGAACTGAACTAGAACTGAACTAGAACTGAACTAGAACTGAACTAGAACTAGAACTGAACTAGAACTGAACTAGAACTGAACTAGAACTGAACTAGAACTGAACTAGAACTGAACTAGAACTGAACTAGAACTGAACTAGAACTGAACTAGAACTGAACTAGAACTGAACTAGAACTGAACTAGAACTGAACTAGAACTGAACTAGAACTGAACTAGAACTGAACTAGAACTGAACTAGAACTGAACTAGAACTGAACTAGAACTGAACTAGAACTGAACTAGAACTGAACTAGAACTGAACTAGAACTGAACTAGAACTGAACTAGAACTGAACTAGAACTGAACTAGAACTGAACTAGAACTGAACTAGAACTGAACTAGAACTGAACTAGAACTGAACTAGAACTGAACTAGAACTGAACTAGAACTGAACTAGAACTGAACTAGAACTGAACTAGAACTGAACTAGAACTGAACTAGAACTGAACTAGAACTGAACTAGAACTGAACTAGAACTGAACTAGAACTGAACTAGAACTGAACTAGAACTGAACTAGAACTGAACTAGAACTGAACTAGAACTGAACTAGAACTGAACTAGAACTGAACTAGAACTGAACTAGAACTGAACTAGAACTGAACTAGAACTGAACTAGAACTAGAACTGAACTGAACTGAACTAGAACTGAACTAGAACTGAACTAGAGCTGAACCAGAACTGAACGAGAACTGAACGAGAACTGAACGAGAACTGAACGAGAACTGAACTAGAACTGAACTAGAACTGAACTAGAACTGAACTAGAACTAGAACTAGAACTAGAACTGAACTAGAACTGAACTAGAACTGAACTAGAACTGAACTAGAACTGAACTAGAACTGAACTAGAACTGAACTAGAACTAGAACTGAACTAGAACTGAACTAGAACTGAACTAGAACTGAACTAGAACTGAACTAGAACTGAACTAGAACTGAACTAGAACTGAACTAGAACTGAACTAGAACTGAACTAGAACTGAACTAGAACTGAACTAGAACTGAACTAGAACTGAACTAGAACTGAACTAGAACTGAACTAGAACTGAACTAGAACTGAACTAGAACTGAACTAGAACTGAACTAGAACTGAACTAGAACTGAACTAGAACTGAACTAGAACTGAACTAGAACTGAACTAGAACTGAACTAGAACTGAACTAGAACTGAACTAGAACTGAACTAGAACTGAACTAGAACTGAACTAGAACTGAACTAGAACTGAACTAGAACTGAACTAGAACTGAACTAGAACTAGAACTAGAACTAGAACTGAACTAGAACTGAACAAGAACTGAACTAGAACTGAACAAGAACTGAACTAGAACCTAAAGTAATATTAAACTGATAATATTTTTGCAATTTAAATTTTAGAAGACATACGAAATTATGCAGCAAAAATTTGTTTTATAATTATTTCTCGATTTACTTGGAAAAATCAACTGTAAATGTTAAGCGTTCTGTACTAAATATCTAGTGCCTATTCAGAATTTGCAAGTTCACATATTCTCACTTAATATAGACAGTGCATAATATCTATAAAATTTCGCATAATGTCACATACATAATTATTTAAAAGTATGCGGGTTACGTTAACTTTTAGCTTAGCGTGTAAATGTACTAAGTCCAATTTTTATAATAATATAATTTTTTTTTAAATTATTAAAAGTGAATTGCATGGTTAACAAAGCCAGTTAAAATTACTTTTCTTTCCAGAATTGGGCTACATGCAAGCTGTTATTAATAATTGCAATATTTTCTACTCATGTTTTAAATATTAGTTTCTTTTTTAAATTTAAAGTAAATGTAAGTAATAAATATGTAAATTTGCATTATCTAGAATGAATAATGTTTTAGTGTCTGCTTTGTATAAGTTACAAGATTAGGGCAAGAGAATAAGCTTCCAAATGAGCCAAAATAGCAAAGAAATCTTGTTTATTAAATCCTCTATGAATCCTTAAATTGAATTGCAGCTATCAATGAGAGATAGAATGAGATGATCACTACCGATCTAAGACAACTGATCGAAGATAGGTTGTTTAAACCGGAAGAATATCTTCCATTTTGCATCATAACTGAAGGTTGAGATAATAGGACTTGATACAATAAACAATTTATTTTATAAATTAGAAATAATATTTAACACAGACATTCACTCCTAACTTCGTACCATTCCAGTTCATATTTAGAAAAACAAACAATAATAATTTTCGGCGCAAAAAAAAAAAACAATAGAATATTTTTTTATTACACACTTGTTTGTAGCAGTTTTAAAGCAGAAATATAAAAATATTAAGCACAAATATAAAATTGAATAATTGCTTGTTAAATGGTCCGTAACGCTCTAAAATACGAATATATTGAAATATTATTGTACTTTAAAACACACAATTGTTTAAAAATTATTTTATGCAAAATGTGATTGCATGTCTATAAAAATTCCAATACAAAAATATAAGATCGTTAATACATTTCATTTGTTATAAAACGCATTCAAGGTTAAAATTAAAACACAATTTGCAAAATAATTGAGAGAAAAAAACAACAACTCACAAATAAATACAGGTCTTTTGGGTACCTTCTTCTTCAATGAACAAGATTAACTGACAAACAAAATAAAATCAAGTGCACTGAAAACTTCATAATGCTGTGTGTTATAAAACAAAAATTTAATTTTGTGGGCGTAAATTTTGAATCATAATTAAGTGATAACGCTTAAAAAAAACAATACTTAAAATCTAAAAATTATACATACAAAAATTACTTAATTATTTACACATAGTAGAGTGTTATTTACAGAGAAAAATAAATTTCAAACTGAAAGCAAAACGCGAAAAGCAAAAAAAGTATTGTAATTGGTTTACAACCTAGAACATCATATTAGTCTAATTAAATAAATCAAAAACGACAAAAAAAAAAGATCTGTTGAAAAAAACCATTAGCAAAAATGAATTAAAATTACATGGGTTAAAAAAATATGTAACATGAAAAATTATTTGAAAACGAAATATCGCACCCTTTTGTTGTGTTAAATTTGGCGCAACACTAAAACTTTTTGCCAAGCGTCTTTGCAATGGTGGCGTAGGAGAATGTGGTAAATTATGTGGCGGCTGTTGATCTTGTCCAGCACTTGCTGATGGTAGACCAAACGATATAGAACCTAAAACACCAGCAGATTGACTACCACTTGCTGCAGTTGCGCCAGTCGAAGAAGTATTTCCAACAATAACACTCGTCGTCGATGGGGATGGTACATTAGCGGTGGAGCCAGTTGCAACACCACTGCTACCATGATGATGGTGATGTCCCATTATAGCATTAAATGCTGAACTAGCCGAGCCACTTATGAAATTATGAATATGGGAATGTTGTGCCGATTGGTTGTGTTGCATAGTCGTTTGACTATTATTATTACTATTATTATTTACTATATTACTATTATTCATGTGTATACTAATACTTCCATGATGGTGAAAAAAACTATGGTGGTGATGATGCTGATGTGTTGATGCTGAAATGGTTGCGGCTGCACCATTGTTGGTGGCCTCATTTAGGGCTAAACGTATGTCCATTAAATTGGTAATACCATCTTCAGCTGAACGTACAGGTGGTACAAAAATACCTTTTTTTAAAAGTGTTTTTTTTCGAATTTTTAAAAACCATTTTTTTTGTTTGTTATAAAGTGATAAGAGGAAAAAGTGATAAAATTTTTAAAATTAAATGTACATACAATAAAATTAAATATACCGTATATGTATTGAAATCAGAACTTAAATTTAAAATTAAATTTGAATACAAATGAGCAAAAAAATTATATAAAATTCTTCTTTAAACAAATTTTAAAATCTAAGATTTTTTATAAAGAATTGCAATATCCAACATTTTTCTATTAAGAATTTCAATATCAAACATTTTTCTTAAAAAAAAAAAATTCAATATCAAAAATTTTTTATTGAAAAATATCACTATAGAACATTTTTCTATGAAATATTTTCAATATCGTTCATTTTTGTATAGACAAATATCACATGAATAATTTTTCTATGAAGAATTACAATATCAAACAATTTTCTACGAAAAAATTTCAATATCCAAGATTTTTCAATGAAAACAATTCACTATTATAAATTTTTCTATAAAAAGTTCAATGTCTAATATTTTTCTATGAAAAAAGTTCAATAATGAAAAATTTTCTACTTTTGATCAAATATAATTTTTTTATTACACATCAAGTCTGATTTCAATACCAATCACTTTAAAAAAATTCCTTAAGCTTAAATAAACTATATAAACAGATTTTATAGTACAGCAGTGTCCCAAAAATAAATCTAAAACCTTTAACCACCAAAATATGTACTTCTGATAACATTTACAAATAATATTCTACCATTAATAAGTTTATTATCATCAACCTTATATTTGTTTTTAATAATGATTACGCGGAAATGATACTTACCTAAAAATGCATCAACTTGACTAGAAATACCCTTAATAGCTTTTAAAAATATTAAGGGCAGTGCTTGTAGACAAGGATGTTGATAAGTTTCTGCTCCCTTATCATGAGTTAAAGCCCATTGAACAAAATGTGAAGATTTACTGATAATATGTGGTGAACATAAAGCTGTTGGATTGCCAATAGTACGCAAAAACCTATACCAAGTTTGGGCAACACAATCATTAGACATGCCAGCTGGTATAAGTTGAGCATCTTCTTCAGCTGAAAGGTAAACAAAATTAATTTAAAAATGTTCCATATTTTTTTCAAATTAAATAAAAACTTACATATTTTTAGCTCGGGAAATGCGGGACCATAAGTAAATTCCAACAGTCTGGCTGTTAAGGCCAAATTAACACGATTCCATTGATCTACTAAAGCTACACGATGACGCCACATAGCACAAGATTCTTGTAAAGTTTTCCATAATGAAGGCGAGGGAAAACATCTGACGCAAGCCAAAAGCCAGACTTCAAAGAGCACCTGTAAAACTCTTTCGCACAATTGATCACCTACATCATCTTTGATGGTGGGAGGTGCCAGCAAAGTCTCATTTATAGCCAAAAGAAATAATAACAAAGATTCCCAAGTTTCACGATCCATAGTTTGAGAAATTTGTGCTGTCTGTTGTAGAGTGCGTAAAACACGATGACATAAAACTGCCTGGCGATTAATCGTATCAATACCTTAAAAATAAACAAAATAATTATCAAGTAAGCTAATTAATTCTTATAAACAAGCACTATAAATGTACATATGTAAATATTTCTAGCGGTATGACACCTACCAAGCTCTTTTTGATATATAAATGGTAAGACTTGAAATGAGAATGTGTAGAAAATTTAGTTAGTAACTTTTTTTCTAAATTAAATGCTTAAATTTTGTTCTTAATTTGCAGAGCCTTTTCGACATGATATTAGAAGTATGTATATTAATTGTTGTTAAATGATATGCACTTACTTTCACCATGCCTTGGTACGAAGAGATTATGAAAATGATTAATTATTTTGCGACAATACATATTGGCATCTTCACATATTGGTTTGGGTACACTTATTTTAGGTTGAGGATGCAGTGCGGTCATCCATTCACAATACACATTCACACAATCCTTAATAGTTTCATGTTCTTGCAGCGGCAATGATAGACCGAAGCAAATAACATCCATACACCAATTAACCTGTAATATTAAAAGTACGTAATAGGATTAATAGAAAAACAGTTTTATAATATAAATATAAATATTTCCGGGAGTATGTAAATTTGTATGGGAGATATATGAAATTTTTAAACCAATTTTAATAATCTTCAACCGTATTAATATCTACACTGAAGAAAGCACTGAAATAAGTAGTACTTATTAAGTACATAGGTACATATCGTCACCTGAAACGCAAATGCCCTAACTAACCAAAAATTCAAAATCGATTTTATTGTTGATTACATGTAATGTATTGCTTCAAAACAAATGTCCACACTAGATACAAATGTCCAAATTAGACTCATACGTTCAAAATAAGCGATTTTATTGACAAAAAACAAACGGCCCTATCTACACAAACATTTATGTATATATTAAAGGTAAAAAGTTCAATTTATCCATTTTTATATACGCCATTGTCAACTATCATAACAACTAAAAGGTTTCAATATTAAAAAAATTGTTTATTTACTACAAACAAATCGCGGTGATAGAAACAAACTTTTCAATTTAAATAGTTTTTTGCTTCTCCTGTAAAATTTTAAAAATGTTAGATAGGGCCGTTTGCGTTTTCGGTAACGATATACTCTTCTTACGAAGGTGCGTTATTGAGATATAAAAGCCACAAAAACTTTGTTTTTGGCATATTTTTGTATGTAATTCATTGATAACTTGCTCCATTAGACATTTCCTCTTGGAATCTTCCGGCGTATCATCTCATCTTCCGGCGTATCATCTTAAAGACCCAAAAGATATCTTTTACGATGGAGTGCACCTAAAAAATACGTCTAAAAGGCAACATTGGCAGATTAGGCAGATTTTGCCAATTATCAAACTGTACGACTCAACAGAATATTTCAGTAAAAGTATGTGTATCAAATGTATAAATGGTATTTACATAAAAACTCCTCAACTTATTATTAGTTATAAAATTATAAATAAACAAAATTACCTCTTCATCTTTAACTAAATGACTCGGTTCAGCATTCTGAGTAATACCCAAGTTTGTGGCCAATTGTTTGACCACAGATACAGCAACTTCACGACCAGCGCTAGCGGGGAATTTATTTAGAACACTATAGCTTTGAGCACCACAGCTATTCGCTGATATTTGTGCCGATAGAGAAACCCATTCGCCATACATTATATTTTGCAGACAATTTAAATTTCTTATGTAAAGTTTATTTTCGCACTTTTATTTATACTAATAACAATTCTTTTTATAATTTTATAATTATTTACTACAAAACAAATGGGTTTCCAAACACGTCAACAAAAAACTCTTTTCTTAATAACTGGGCGAGTCAAAGACTCTACACTTTTTCATTTGAGAAAATTTACTTCCATTTTTAAACGCGTTTATTGCAGCATAACATATTATATTTAAATCTGTAATTAAATTAACTTTATTTTTCCATTAGGATAATTGTTTTTCAGTGTTTATTGTTATTTTTTATACCGTTTTTATATATTTTTAAATAAAATTTACACCTGTCTGCAAAATTTACGCACAAAATTATTTTTTTTTTTCTTACATCTACTCACGGCACATCTATTAACGGCGGCGGCGACTGACACTAAATATGTCGGCGGCGGCTTAAAATCGACTGTAAGCCGGCTAAGTTTTCAACTACGTTTAGTTTTTAAATTTTCAACGATTTTAAATAAAAACGGAATCCGAGAGATTAGAAAGTGGGATTTTGGAAGCAAATATATTGTTTATAACAACAAAACAGAGCAAGCTCAAAAGTTGTGTGAGAAATTATGCAGGGATGAATAAAAAATTCTTAAAAATTAAAAACAAATCCTTTCTCCAAGTTTTACGAGGATCTGCCGATATTTAACCCTATCCTCCATATAAAACGTAAAAACAAAGATATTTTATTTGTTTATTTACTAGCTATACCCAGTGTGCAGTGCTACCCTAAAAGTAATATAAATAAGAAACCCACTTAACGATTTTGATGATTCTAACTACAATGGTTTTCCAGATATACAATTTGTTACATATGGGAGATTCCACGCAAATTATTGCAAATTTCGGAAGTGGTCATATACATATATATATGGACTTTGATCATTACATTAATAAGAATGTCACCGTGATTTTCGGATTAGAGACTTAAATGTGGAATTGGGTCAATTATGGACAAAGTTCTCTATAATTTAAAGTATTAAATAAATCTATCATAATGATATCTTTTGGAATGATGTATTAGCTATAAACTGATTTTCTGTAAGAGGGTTATATTGGCGGACCGATCCTCATATAATAGAAATAATATAATAGAAAATTTAAATAGTACCAGTTGAAGAACGAAAAAGTACCAAAAAGTCCCGTTTTATATGTTCTAACTTACTCCATGCCCTACAGGTTTAATTTCATGACTATATGTTAGGGTTCTATAGTTGAAACAAAAAGTCGACTTTTCGACTTTTCGACTTTTTGCATTTAGTTAAAAGTCGACTTTTCGACCTTTCGACTTTTTCCATTTTATGAAAAGTCGATTTTTCGACTTTTCGACCTTTTTCATTTATTTAAAAGTCGACTTTTAGACTTTTCGACTTTTAGTACTTTATAAATGGTCGACTTTTCGACTTTTCGACTTTTTCCGACTTTTCGACTTTTTCCGACTTTTCGACTTTTTTCGACTTTTCGACTTTTTCCGACTTTTTTCGACTTTTCGACTTTTTTCGACTTTTCGACTTTTTTCGACTTTTCGACTTTTTTCGACTTTTTCCGACTTTTTTCAACTTTTCGACTTTTTCCGACTTTTCGACTTTTCGATTTTTTACGACTTTTTGACTATTTTCGACTTATTTCGACTTTTTTTCGACTTATTTCGACTATTTTATACTTTTTTCGAGTTTTTCCTACTATATTAGAGTTTTTGACCTCTTTTCCACTTTTTTAAAATTTTCGACTATTTTCGACTTTTCGACTTTTCGACTTTTTTCGACTTTTTTCGACTTTCTTCGACTTTTTTCGACTTATCGACTTTTTTCGACTTATCGACTTTTTTCGACTTTTCGACTTTTTTCGACTTTCCGACTTTTCGACTTTTTTCGACTTTTATTTACAAAGTCGACTTTTCGACTTTTTTCATAGACGATAGTCGAGTTATCGACTTTTTTGGAACAAAATAGTCGACTTCGACTTTTCGACTTTTTTCGACAAAAAGTCGATTGTTCGATTATTCGAAAGTCGATTTATAGAACCCTACTATATGTTCAATATTATAGAAAATTCAAAAAATACCTTTTGAAGAACGAAAAAGTACCAAAAAGTCCCCTTTTATATGTTATCACTTAATCCGGGCTGTACATTCTTAATTTCATGTTTCTAGGTTCAATATTATAAAAAATTCAAAAAGTACCGGTCGAAGAACGAAAAAGTACCAAAAAGTCCCCTTTTACAGGTTCTCACTCTACACGCTTTCATGTTTCTAGGTTTAATATTATAGAAAATTCCTTTTGAAGAACGAAAAAGTACCAAAAAGTCCACTTTTATAGATTCTCAAGTGCTTAATTACATGTTTCTAAGTTCTAAGTCAAAAAAGTACCAGTCGAAGTACGATAAAGTACCATTTTATAGATTCTCATTTACTCCGGACTCTACTTGCTTAATTTCATGTTTCTAGGTTAAGTTTTATAGAAAACTCAAAAAGTACCTTTGTAGAACGAAAAAGTCCCTTAATTATTAATTTCATGTTTCGATTTCAATATCATAGAAAACTCAAAAAGTACCAGTTGGAGAATGAAAAAGTACCAAAAAATATCACTTGGTACCGGTGTTCCAAATAACACCCCATTAGCATATTTAGTGTTTCTTGAATGAAATCAAATTTCCCGTTTTTACCCCTTTTGGTACTTTTTTCCTCCCCATTAACGAAATAAAAATTCTGTTCCAAAAAGTTGCAACATCGTATTGGGAGCCCGTTATTATGTATTCATATGTATAGGTTAATAAACCAAAAAGAATGTTTCATAAAAAAGTACCAAAAATAGGTACAATTTTCACCCCTTAAACGTCCGAATATCCAAAAAGTACTAAATTCATATTTTTATTTGTTCGTCAAGTTATGAAGGATTCAAAAATATTTTTTGAATGTTCTCTGGTTTAAAAGATACATGGGGTGCAAAAGAAGTACCAAATTACAGTTTTTACCCGTTTATTCCCCAAAGGGGCCGAATTTTCTTTAGAGACAAATAAATAATTCAATACTTTTTCAATAACAAAATTATATACATATGTATATTTTATAACTTTTTAAAAAAAAAATCAAACAATTTCCAAACTGAACACGATCTACGTTTGTTACAAACTCAAAATGTATGTAAAATGACAGAAGATCAAATAAAGAATTTGCAAAAATTGGCGCGAAAACATTCAACTGCGCGCAAAAAATTGCAGAATTTTTTTTCAAACAGATTTTGTTTGATGTCCCATTTAAAATACATTTGTTTGACGATCTAGGAAACTCTGGTTTGTCAAACAGCAATGTATTTTTCGTACCTCGTGTTTGTAGCAAACACATTTTTGTTTGAAGTGTTTGAAGTAAAAGCAGCGACTCGAATTAGGCGCGTAAATATCTGGCAATACTGAATAAAAACCTTAGGAATGGCAATGCTGCCATTTAAACAGCTGACCGCTTGTTTACAAGCTAAAAACAAAACACGATTTATTGAAGAACATTTAAAAAAATATATATATTTAAATAAAATATAAAAAGATTGAAAAGTTTTAATAACAACTGGTAAAATGAGTAACTTTTCCAAACAACATTTTGGTGACATAGATATTAGGCAACTGATACATCATTACAAACAATACGATTGTTTATGGAACTTCAATAGTCCTGACTACAAAAATAAATCATCCAAGCAGGAAGCTTGGTCAGAAATAGCTAATTACTTTCAAAAAGATGTGAATGAAGTTAAGCGCAAAGTGAAGTATTTACGTACTGCCTACGTGGCGGAGAAAAAGAAAGTGGAGGCATCAAGAAAATCCGGCAATAATACTCCCTATAAGCCTTCCTTATTTTACTACAAAGACTTGAATTTTCTAGAAGACGTAGTAGTTTGGCGTAAATTTGGCAACGAAGTTGAACACAATGAGTTAGAGTTTGTAAGTAAAAATTTAAGAAAAAAATTAATTGAAAAAATGATTATGAAAAACTTGAATAGGAAAATTTTCAGATTACCGCAGAAGCTGTCGAAGATGAAGAACTTTTGAAATATGTAAATCAAGAAGAAGAAGAAGATGTGGACCTTAAACAGCCAGGAATTAATTGCAAAACCGAAACATATATCGATGCTGAACCGGAATCTTCACCACCGCGACAAATAAGAAATACACCAAAAATTTCACATCCACGTACTATAGCTGCTCGACCGCTTAAAAGAAAAATAAGTCCCGAAGCTAAATTAAACCGTTCAACCAGCAGCATTGTATCAACATTACCACCAACTGGCAGCAATTCCCAATGTAAAAATTTGTACATATCATTTGGAAAAACTATTTCTTTGCAGTTACAACAGTTACCATTAGATGTAGCGATAGAGACAATGTCTGAAATACATACTATGCTTACGAAAAACACATTAGAGCACTTTAGATCCACAGCCATACCAAACGGACATGATTCGTATACACAATCGGAATCCGAAGATAGTTGTAGTGAATTAATCGAAGAAGCTTTAAATGATTCAAGTTAAATTTTAATAAATTCATTTTAGTTTAATCTAAAAAAGGAAACAAAATTAAGTTAAAGCCTAATATATCTAATTTTCCTGTTTGATTTCTAAAAATTTTAGAATTTTGCAACAGAAATGAATTTAAACTTTAATTTTATCTTACAAATAATTTTAATATACCTATGTATTTTGAATTCATATTTATGTTAAATACTGAATTTCTTCTTTACCTTTTTTTCTTTATAATACATAATGTTATAATTGTGAATAAAGTTTTTAAATATAATTAATATTTTGTGTTAAATAAAGATTTCCTTTTCATAAGTTACATGTTAAATTAAAAAATTCGAAAAAAAAATATTAAACTTTTCAATAACCTCTAGAACTTGAGCATTCACATAAAAAATGTTTTTAAGCCTTTTTCAATTTCGAACTTTGAAAAATGTGAATTTTTTCGTGAATATTAAAGTAAACATAATCCTTGGATCACGAGGATTTTTTTTTTCGAAAAATTATTTAATCCCTTATTCAAAACTTTAAAAATTTCTAAACATCTATAATGAACTAAATTTTAATTTTTGGCGGGAAGATTAGCAACTTCCATTTTGGGGTCATCCCACAATGTACATAGTTTTAGAAGAGCTTCAACAGAAAAAAATCATTAAGAACTACTGATATTTTATTAATAACTATTACAATTACATTTCAACATTATATTGTATACTTTGTACGATATTAACAGTCATTGTTTATCTTAAACAATAAAAATAATCTGTGAACCTTAACGTAATTTTAGTTAATTTATTTCACTAAAGATAATAATTTCATATTGCTTATTTAATGCAAGACCTGTGTCCCAAATCAAATAATACAGTTTCAAGTATAAATGCCCAAAGCTGTTGTTCAATTGTAGAATAGTTGTTTTTACACACTTGAAATATTTTAAATTTCAAATGATCACAGTTCCCCATTAAGTTTGCATGAAGTGTTTTTGTTGTAGACAAACAATATGTACTATGATAAGGTTTTACTAAGGCATAGATAAGATTAAATGATTTGATTATCTACCTACTAGTAACTTCATATTTAATAGAATTAAATGTTGTTGGTTAAGTTCATGTTATTTTATTTTCGTTTAATTTCAATTTCAATATATTTTATTTATACACAACATGTAAAGAAAGCCATCATCATACCATCATCATTAAAAATTACAATACATATTAGTGGTAGTTTTTTTTTTATTTGTTTTCCTCTGTTTTGTCTTTTAAATAGTCTAGTATATAGAAGTCATAAAATAATGAATGTTAACAGATATGCTTTAAATATTCATTATTTTATTAAATAAATAAGAAAACAAAATAAAAAAAATCTTTTTTATAAATTAGACAAACAATAAAGTAATGTAATACAAATTAAGAATTTCTTCTATATATATATATTTTAAACAAATTATAAAACTACAACAACAAAGTGTAGGATACTATGAGAATTAAGTTTTAAAGTTAAAATAAAGATGAACTACATTTGTTTTGTTTTACGTTTAATAAGATTTCAATAAAATCTCTGACCTATATAAAATTGTTTTATTTAATATACATTTACTAGAAAAGGAAATGCTTAAAATTAATCCTGTTTTTTATCTGCTGCTGATTTGGGTTTAGCAGCTGTCGCTGTTTTTTCCTCTTTCGGTGTATCCTTGAGAGCTTGTGTGGTACCCTCGAGTTTCTTTTGTGCAGCCTGTTCAGCCATTTCGCCAGAGAAACCGAATTCATTAACACGCTTAAGATCAACACGATATTGCCAGCGTTGATAGAGGAATATAAAGAACACAATATCATCACGGAAGCAACCCAATCTGTACATTGTTGGCATTTTAATAACAAATGCAAAAATGTCGTCGATAAATGTGTTCAAAAATTTATAAGTCATCATGCGCCATGGCATATGGGCAACTGATTTCAATTTATAATTAATAAACAATTGTGGTGTCATCATGATAAAGCCAAATGTCAGCAAATAACCATATAACATGTTCAACAAGAAAGAATACCAGCCTTTATGTTCATTATACACCATGGAGTAAATGAAATAGCCGACTAGAAGAGGGAAACAAATCCAACCCAGATATTTAAATGCCAAATTATCGTAAGCTTTAGTTTCGCTTTCGGAATATGAGCCCTTATCCTTAAAGGAGATTTTTGGTAGTATGCCAAACAACTTTTGATCTGTATTGTAATTGATGTCGACAACTTTGTGAATTTTCCACACTTCAATGCCCAAACCAATGAAACAAGATACACGAATCATGAAGTTAGTTTCATTGTCGAGAACATAAAGTAAAACAATTAAAGCCTGGAAAACACCGAAGAATACTGAACGTACAGAAAGTCCTTCCAGAGACTGACGGTTATTCCAAAATTGTATGTCATTTTTGAAGGCCAGAAGCTCAAAGATTGAATGTAATATAGAGATGGCGATAGTTAAACCCAAAAGGTAGATATTTGTCTCCAACATTGTTTCTTTGAGGGAATCTTGATCTTCGTCGTTTTCCTAGAAAATGAAAAGAAAATTAATGCTTGTATTCAAACTTTTAATTAATTAACTGTAGTTCAGTTCTAGAACTGATCTAGAACAGTTTTAGTTGAGTTCTAATCAAGTGCTAGTACAGTTTTGTTTTAATTCAATTCTAGGATTGGAGAATGTTATTCGAATCGAAATAATTTAAATCTCTTTACCCCCACTATTTTATTAGTATAGAATATTTTAACAACTTACCTCACCGCCACCCGATGCCATCAGTTCACCCAAAACATTACCGGCAAATTTGTTTTTCATCTGCTGAGCAGCATACAATTGCCATTTAAACATACCGATGGGTTGGAAAGTCAAATGCAAAGGTAGTTCAGGGGTAGTCTCATTGATGGGATAATAATCACGCTGCAGATTCCAATAGTCATTCACAAAGACAATTGGTAAATAGGTTTTGCCACCATCAACAAATTTTACATATTCATCCAATGGTGGAGGCACAGTGCCCTGAGCCCAATTTGTTTGATCCACTACCACGTTCAAGGTTAAATTTGGATGCCAATGTGAGACAATGGTATCTTTTAAATTAGCCTGTGCCAATTCAAATGCCAATTTCTCTTGCTCACTAGCCAAAAGATTATAATTACGATTAACACGTATTTTCTTGAATTTATTCAACTGTTTCTGCTGATAACCCATTAGACCATTTTTGGCAAAATTAGGCGCTTTAGGATCTGGTGATTCTCCGGATTTGGTAACGAAAGCATGCAGATAAACAGAACCATTGTTCATAAGTCTCGGTGTAGCTTTAACGGTCACTTGATGATGAAAAAGGCCATCACGATTGGGTCCTGAGGACCAATCGCCATATGTGAGATCTTCTTGGAGCCAGAGTAAATTTGAGGTTTGTTGGAAGTTGACATCATCGGCATTTTCCGACAGCCATACGTGCAAATCGAAAAGAGTGCCATTTTCAAAATAATTCCAAGCATGAATTTTGGGACCAGTAGCAGGAGATTTTTGATTTGGATTAGCGGCAGGTGGTGGACCTCTTCTAAAGAAGGAGGACACAAAGTATATAATAAGAGCGCGGAGTATCAGAGACTTGGTCATGGCAAAAAATGACTCCATTTTGGACTGAGGTTGCTGCTGCTGACCTTCGGGTTGGCCTTCAACGGGTGCATTGGCATCACCATTTTGTTCAGCCACCTAAAATAGAAATTTCCTTATTATTTAGAAAACGTATAATCTTGTTTTTGTCTAAATATCTAATTCTCTTTAAAGAATTACATGAAAATCTTATTATATTTCTATAGCCTATTATGCATTCACATTCTAATTCATTCAAAAATTAGCAGAATTCAATCAACTACGTGTTCATTTGCATTACATTGACCTTAACATAATTTTTTCATAAATCAGATTTCTTTTTTTACACAATTTTTTTATATGCAGCAGCACTACTACCAATTCTTACCTCATTCCCAGCAGTTTGTGCTTCTGTAGACATGTTTTCTGTTTTTATTACTTAATAAATTTATTAAATCTTCATGTATTCTTAATAATTATTTTATTTAATTTGCATATTTTCTTCCCAACAAAAATACAATTCAACAATTTGCAGTGATTTTTTATCTTCCTTCGTTCTTGTTTTTCCCACCACGTTGAATTTCGTAAAAAAAAACAATACGTGTTCCTTTTCCTAAAATACTATTGCTTTTCTTTTAAATGAAAGTGTATCTTATTATTGCTTCATACTATACGGGTTTAATTAATTAAAATGAACTATTAATAATTAGAACCGTCTAAGCGGCTTCAAAATATTCTTGATTGAAAAAAAAACGAGAATGATTTTGCTTAAAAAATTTTACTCTCTCAAAAATGTGGTGGAGAAAAATTCTTTTGCTTTTGGTGGTGGATTTGTGCTATGGTGAATTTCTTATCACATGTTGACAACAACCAAGTGAAGTTGGCTGCAGTTGATGGAATATATTTGATTAATTGCCAACTACATGTAAGAAATCAAAGGGAAATTTAACAGTAATGGCATCAAATATTAAAAATTTTGCTTTAAATAAATAAAAATTGCAATATTTTCATGAAAAATAAAAATAATTTGTTAAACAAATATTTATGAAACATGTTAAAAATATATTACATATATTTAAAATATTTTTTTTATTTTTTCCTTTCATTATTTATCTAAATTTAAAAAGAAATATTAATTTATTATTATAAAAAATATAAAAAAATGATTTTAACAATTTCTAGTTTCTTATTAATTTCAAAGCTGTAAAAAAGTACACAAATACATATTTAAAATAAAAATAAAAATATTGTTCTTTTCATTTATCAAATACAATACAAAATGGTTCAAATTAAAAGTTTTTAAAGTAAAAATTAAAAACGTGGAAATAGACATTAATGTGCTAACTATCTCTATTTTCAAAATAATTTATTAAAATAAAAAACTTTTTCAAGGAACAATTGAATAAAAATTTCAAAATTACGCATTTTCATTTGCACTATAAAAATAAGTATTATAAAACATTTTAAATAAAATTTAATATACTAATTTAAAAAAATGTGGTGAGTTTTTATCTCAATTTTATTTAACTTTTTTTGTTAGTTTGTTAGATGGTACAAAATTTGTAACTGATTTATTGATTTAATTTAAATTTAAAAATTCAGAGTTAATAGGTTTTTATGGTTGAAAATTTTAACTGAATTTTTAACCAGCTGATGTAGGTCAAATATATTGAAATTTGAAATACATACATATGTATATAATCATCTGATGACAATATAATATGTTCGAATTTTCAAAATGTGTTATTTTAGACAAAAATAGTTTTTAAAATTATATATATTTTGCGTTAGTATGTAAATTTGAAAAAGATAAATCATATTTTATATAAATAAAAAAATTTAAACTTAAGTCGTTTAATGCTATTCGGTTATGTTGTTTATTTATGAAATTTACTTGATAGTGAAAGGGGATTTTTGTTTGGGAGCTGGGTCACATCATGATGGATCATTACGAACAAGAAAACAACATTTTTACTATTAAAAGTTTTCTGGTTAAAAGTGAACGTTTCTAGTATTATTTTTATTTTTCATTATTGAATTATTTCAATAAAAATTTTAATATATTTTTATTGAAGAAAATAAATGCTAACTTTCATATAAATTTTCCAAAATTTTTTAAAATATTAAGTTTATCTTAAACTCATATTGTATATAAACAAGATGAACATTCTGAATACAAAAAAGATTAAGAAATTATATGTATAGTTCTTAAGATATGACCATTTATATACTTCCATATATAGCTAGTTTTAGATTTTAAATTATGTTTTTCCAAAAAATTGAAAGTAATTTCACAAATTGTTTGTAACATTAAGATCTAATAATCGAAAAAATGTGAAAACTCGAATAATAAAAATATAAAAATGTAATACAAACAAATTTATATGACTAAGTTAACAACTCTACTAAAATATGTAAAATATGTGTGTAAATCAATAAATGAATTCAGAAGGAATTATCCTTTGTTTTATTCCATTAAATTATTTCCAAAAAATATGAATAAAAAAAGTTTTATCAATCAGAAAGTATTGATAAAATATACTCTAACAATTTTTTTAACAAAAATAATGTCATTAAAAAGTTCTATAAAACTTTAATTATATAATTTTGACTACACATAAAGCCTTCATATAATTTGTTTTTAATTTAACGGATCGAAAGAGATCAAAATTGTAAAAAGGCTTCTGAATATAAAGTTTTTGTATAAAATTACCTGTATATAGTAAAAGGCCAATATAAATCTCAAAATGGTTGATATCTCAAAAATGATTCAACCGATTTAAATTACTTGAAAGATTATTGTTTAACATGTCCAAATTACTTATACTAAGTTCGATAACTCTTTTTGCAACTGAATAATTGAATAATTGAATTTTAAACCATATTTTGGAAAATATATATCAAATACCCCTCTTGTAATTGAGTACAAAGTTTAAATATTTTATATTTTTAAATAAATCTTCATGTAGGCAATTTAAAATATCAGTTTTACTGCTTGGAAAAAAATGTACCTTTTAATATTATCAACCACACTGTGTCATAAAAAACAATAGTTGGCAAAGCGAATGATTAACAAAAATTTCCCTTAGGCGAAAAACGTCAATAATTTCCCGCCATCTTGGAAATTTCCTTTTTGATTTTTGATTAGCATTTGACTGCACGTTTCTTAAGGTAAGAAAAAAATTTATTTAAAAAAATTGTGAAATTTGTTGAAAAAAATAAAGAAAAATAGTTTAATTATAATAAAACGGTGTAAGTTAGTGAAATACAATAAATGCTCATGAAAATTGTTTAAAATAATTGAGTGGAAAATGTTTTAAACAAAAAACAAGGCACATAACCTAGAAAAAGTGTTTCCAGACACAAGAAACACGTCGCAAAAATTCATTTGTGTGTTTTAAACAAATAATTTTGTTTTTATAATGTTAAGTGTAATGTAACGTGAATTTAACAATTGTTTTCTTTCTGTTTCTTATAGATGCAGATCTTCGTCAAAACTTTAACTGGTAAAACCATTACCTTGGAAGTCGAGCCTTCCGACACCATTGAAAATGTCAAGGCCAAAATCCAAGACAAAGAAGGTATCCCCCCAGATCAACAACGTTTGATCTTCGCTGGTAAACAATTGGAAGATGGTCGCACCTTGTCCGACTACAACATCCAAAAGGAATCCACTTTACATTTGGTACTCCGTCTTCGTGGTGGTATCATTGAACCCTCTTTGCGTATCTTGGCTCAAAAATACAACTGCGACAAAATGATCTGCCGTAAGTGCTATGCTCGTCTCCATCCTCGTGCTACCAACTGTCGCAAGAAGAAGTGCGGTCACACCAACAACTTGCGTCCCAAGAAGAAGTTGAAGTAGACTACTGGAATGTGGATGGATATCACAATCAATATGCTCTGGGAGAAGCACACTATCATCATACTCCCTTTTTTCTATGTATACATTTAAAATTAAATGTTAAGTTTTTTTAATTTTCTATATATTTATTTTAAATTAAAATTGCTATAACATCAAATTACTACCTAATTTTTTGGTGAATATACGGAAAACATTTTTTATAAAAGTGAGATACATAGAAAATATGTTTATTTTATTTATATTGTGTATTTTAATTTGATAGAGATTTTTAACATAGAAACTTGAAAAGTAATTGGATTATGTTGGGATTTAAAATTACTCCAGGTCTTTCATATTCAATTCGGAATGGGTATAAATTCTTTTGAAACATATTTCGTTCGATTCTCTTTAATCTTATACAAATTTATTTTGTTCATTGAAACGCCCTTTTGTAAAAAAACACTTAATTTTTCCACACAAAAACAATTTAGATTGGTTATTTAGTTGTAAATTTATATCCAAAAATATGCATATCTATATTTTTACATATCGGGATGTATATTCTACATAAATAGAAAATGTATTGACAAATTACTAATTCATAAATTAATTTTTTGGCCGAACATTCTCCTAGTAGATGAAAAATCACTTTTTTTTTGGAATTTCACGTCGTTATCTTTTATTTTTTTAATGAAAATAAATATGGGATTTTTTTTTTATATAAAAATCATTACATTTAACTACTTAAGCTCATCACTTCTAAATAAAAATATGTATATTCCTCTGATCCAAATACTAAGCCTATAGCAACCATTCCATTATTTCATACCTTATATTAGGAAAATAAATATGTATCTATTAGGGTGATCGATTATTCGACATTTTCCAAAAACCGGTTTTCGAATAGTTAACATTTAAAAAAAATCGGTTGATATTTTTCAAATTCAGAAAAAACCGGTTAACCGGTTTTTCATTATAAATAAAAAAATATATTTTAATTTGAAAAACCTAATGTTTATGTTTAAATTTGATTAATAAAACATCGCCCGAAATTATTTTTAACAGTTTAAAAGATTATAACTTTAGATCTAGTCGTCTGATTTACATAATTTCTTTAATATAAAAAAATTAGGAAAAAAGTGGGACACTTCTGTTAAACATAAGGTACTATGTAATCCTAGCTTATTTTAAAAGCCTTGTTTAGGAAATTTTCATAGGCAATCCAACACTTCCATAAAATTTCAGTCGTAAATTAATTATTGTAATTGGAATATAATATAATGATAAAATTTTATCAAACAGTTATCAATTTTACAAATAAATTTTTTTAATTAATTAGGAAAATCAAAAAAGTTTAACCAAAGGAGCTGTAGAAAAATAAACGCTAGTTTCTCGACTCGAATATTTTTAAAATTTAGACGGGCTTTATTATTATTTACTTAAAAATTTCATTTAAATAATCTTTGAATACAAAGCAAACAAAAGTATTCGAAACCGGTTTTTAAAAAGTGAAAAAACCGGGTTATTCGATATTCGAAAAATCAACATTAAGAAAAAACCGACACTGGTAAAGCAGAAAAAACCGGTTGAAAAATCGAGTCGATCACCCTAGTATCTATACAAATTAGCTGTATATAATTTAAAATCGATTTTCGTAATGGTCGGTCCATAATTGACCATAGCTCCCATTGAATGTCTCCTTCTGGACATGTCCTTTGTGGATATTCGAAGTGTATGTATAGCTCTTGTATGAATATAAATTTTATAATGTCCTTTCCATATTTGACCCTAGCGCCCATACAAAGATTTTCAGAAAATCAGGTCGACTTAAATTGTTTAAATATTACTGAATTAAGGTGAAATCCGAAAAATACACTAACTATTACACAATGAAACTTAGTGGAGTCAACAAATCTAAGTCATTTAAAGGATCCTTACGAAATCCAATGTATCATATAGTCGTGCATGGCCGATTAATAATATTTTATTTGTTTTAATATACATATCGAGGAACTATATTCAATAGTCTCTATCTAAAATAATACAAGTTTTCAGGAGAGCAAAAAACTGTTTATTTCGCTAGTTCGTGAGGATTTTTATTTAAATTTTTTCTTCTACAATATATTTTTACAACCATATTCTAAATCGTTATATAAAAAGAATTTAAAATTTTGCATTATTTGTAAAATTATTCACAAATTTATATCAGATCGAGCTTTTTTTTCCACGAAAATTTTTTCATATAAATATAAATTTTTTATCTGATTTAAAATTAATAAATATTATATTTCATGCAATTTAATGAATAGAAACCAAATTGTTGAAAAAGCAACAGATTATAAGGTTTTGGTCCAAAATCTATGTTATATGGTTAAACACGGCAATAAAATTAATCAAATTAGTATCATAATAAGCAATACCTCGAAAACTATTAAACCGGATTTGAGTTCAGCATGTCGAAATTAGTAAAAACACTTGTTTTGCAACAGAAAATTATCCAAAATACTAGAGTTTGAAGCAATTTTTGGATAAGATAGAGAGTTTTGCATTCAGTATTTTTATTTTTTTGAGATAGAGAAATTTAAAAATTGCTATAAAATTTCCAAAAAATATTTTTCTTCTTTGAAATTTATTTCACTGATGCTGAATATTTTGCCATCAAAATCTTATTTTCATCAAAATGGCGGATAGAGACTATTGAATATAGTCCCTCGATATTTTGTATGTGGGTGTGGAATCTTGTCGATTTAAAAAATAAACAGAAGAGTTTAGACTCTAAAATTTAGAGTCTAAATTTTAAGAGTTTTATGACTCTAAAATAAAAAAAAAATAATTTTGACATTCTGCTTCTTTTAGAGAATAGTACATATACAATTTGGAAAAAAAGTTTATCGCATTTTGAACTTTTTTCTTCGTGACAATCAAAACAAAATTGGTCCACACCAAAAATTGGACTCTTCCGACCATAATTATCGCTTTTATTAACAGAAAACAAAAGGCCCTATCTACAAAAATGTAAAAGTCCAATTTATCCATTTTTATATACCCCATTGTCAACTATTATAACAAATGATAGGTTTCACTATTAAACAATTTGTTTATTTACTACAAATAAATCGCGTTGATAGAAACAAACTTTTCAATTTAAATACATAGTTTTTTGCTTCGCCTGTAAAATTTTAAAAATGTTAGATAGAGCCGTTTGCGTTTTAGTTGACGATATATAATTTGTTAACTGTTTCAATTTTTATTTAGTTTGAGCACAAACCAAGAAAATTAAAAAAAATAGATTTTTTTCTAATTTGCTTTGAAATTTTAATATCTGGCAATTCCATTTTTCAAATTCACAAACCACTTTTTAGTACAAAAACCACAGAGTTTACATGTATTAAAATTATTGTTTTCCGAGTATAACTTAAAATTTTCGAAAGAAATTTTGAAAATTCGAACATTATATTATATTGTTATCAGATTTGTACATATGTATATTCCAAATTTAAAAAGGGTTAAAATGTTGTTAAAATTTTCGACAACATACTAACATAACTTTGATTTTTCGAACATAACATTGCATTGTCCTTAGGCGTCTTAATGTGTTCAAAGTTTCAACCAATACGGGAACTGGTCGAAAATTCAGTTACAAAATTTGTACCATTACAAACCAAGAAACTTACAAAGCAATTTAAATAAAAGCTTTTAATAAAAAGGAGTAGGAAAGTCGGACATGGAAGACCTATGTACATACATATGTAGATATAGATATATTTTAGATATATGTATATGACAACTACGGACAAACATGGACCGATCCTCATATAATTAGGGTTTTGGAAACTTATTTATGCCAAAGTCTAACTCTTAGATTTGTACTTTTCGGTTCCAAAGATTCGCGTGAGTTTATAATACACATATAGAAAGATAATTAAAAATCTATCTCTTAAATATCTTTTTTAATTTTTTTAACTCCATAGGAGAACAAGAATCTGTAAACCACACACAGCTGTATAGTCCATCTTCAAGGCTTGAACACGAATTTATGTAACTTCTTTATTTTAATTATTGTTAACTGGAGAATTCTATATTCAGTCCGTTAATAAGTGGTAAGTGTTTTGGCTATATGTCGACAGCTACAATCGTGTTAGCTGCGACACAAACCATTATTTTAGAAAACACGTTGCTAGAGAAAGAAATGGCACATCACAGTACTTGAGCACAAACAGTGAATTAAAATAAAACTATTGAAAAAACTTAAAAACTTTTTAACTTACAGTGCACTCGCGGTAACGTGAACTAATTAAAACCAAGGGAGTTCATGTTAGCGAAATTGTTCACATTAGCGATTGTCAAATTTCATGAAAAAAATATGAAATTTTAATTTATAAATCTGTATTTTACACACTTGAGCGTGATATTCTTTTATTATTATTTATATTATTATAATATAAAACTAAAATTTTATTAAAATCCATTTTCTTTTAACATTAGACCACTTACAGGCCAATTCCTATCACGCATTCGGAGGAACCAACGGTAAAGAGTTTTTTCATTAACTGGAAGTTCTGATGATTTTAAAGTTTGTCTTTTTCCCGGTCCTTGGTATGTGTTGTTTGTACAACTCAAAATTGCTTCTTTTTATACCCTACACCACTTTAGTGGGGAGGGTATATTGGGTTTGTGCTGATGTTTGTAACGCACAATAATATTGGTCCTATACCCACCTTAAAGTATACCAATCGGCTTAGAATCATTTTCTGAGTCGGTTTAGCTATGTCCGTCTGTCCGTCCGTCCATGTAAACCTTGTAATCAAACTACAGGCCGCAATTTTGAAGATAATTGAATGAAATTTGGTACATGATCTTCTATTGTCCCAGGGACAAACCCTATTGAAAATGGTTAAGATCGGTCCATTATTTCACCTAGCTCCCATACAAATGTACCCCCCAAAAAGGGTTGTAAACATTGTAATCAAACTACAGGTCGAAATTTTGGAGATAATTCAATGAAATTTGGCACATGATCTTTTATGGTACTGTAGACAAAGCCTATTGAAAATGGTTAACATCGGTCCATTATTTCACCTAGGCCCCATAGAATTGAACCCGCCAAATAGGGCTTTTAAGTTCATAATTATGCTTAATATACTCGTATCTCGACAAAAAGCTGCAAAACCAAGTTCTATACTAGTCTTGATGACCCTGATAAAATTTTTAATTATAGGGCCTCATTTGACCCTTAGCCCCTC